GCGATTATATACCTGTTCTTCTGAGATTAGGCGAAGAGATGATTTATCTAAAGTGAAAATTAGCTCGAGTCTAGCATAAATGATACTTAAACACTTAACCTGTTTCCCGTCACGGATGTCAACCGATCGATTAACGTTGTTATTGTTGAACGAATGTTTCGAGGTAGAAATTATTCCAAATTCGAATAATTTTTCAATTTTTTTAAAAATAATGATAGAAATCGATTCAAATGTGGATTTTCGATGCAACGTTGTTAATTCGAGACGGAGAGGTTAGGTTTTGATTACGTACTGCCATTACGTATTTGAATGGAAATCGATGAATTGACAAATTTAATATAAACGTTCTGTAATATAGTAGAGAAAATATGTGGAAAATTTATAATACAATGTAATTTTAAAATTTTTCTTGTATAATAAGAGCTTATATGATGAAAATATATATAATAGTATTCGTGAAATATATATTTGATGAAAACATCTACAATAGTATTTCCAATATTTAATGACACTAGCGTGAAAATTTGTCAGGTGATCGTATCAATATTGGAAATTTGTCACATCACAGAAACCGTATATTCGTATAAATATTTGAAATTTGTCATGATGTTACGATCGAAATGTCACAATGTTCGCCATGATAAAATTCAGCCACATGACAGCAAATAAATTAATCTTTGCATTTTACTAGTCATCTTACAATTTCTTCTATATAACTGTTCTTATATCTAATATAATAAAAGGGAAGGAAAAAATCCCAAATTGAACAACGACACAAATCAAATTTATATTAATACTTTCATTATTGAATCAAATAGAAATAAATTGCTTAAGATTCCACGAATAATCTATGAGTTCTAATCTATAAATCTATTCTAATCTAGTAAATCAAGGTTATATCAATTTAATCAAGTAGAAAAGATGTTTCATCAAAAATCCATGAAGAATCGAATTCGATATTCCACACCACGAACATTATATAATCCCGTTTTAAATTGAATAAAAACATTTGTTGAAAGCTACAATTGTTGCGGATCACTTCGTTCAAACTTACACTTTATCCATGTATTTTTATAACACAAAGTGACAAAGGTGGCGCTTGTGTCCACGTGGATACGCAATCATTGTGGCTCAATCTACCTTCCAAATTTTCATAATCTCGATCCTCGATTGTTCGTACATACATACATATACAATTTAAATTGCAAAAAAAAAAAAAATCAAAAATAACAAAAATATAAATTTTAAAGCAATTCTACCTCGAATCATTCCGTATATCAATAGTATATAAATAAAAAAAAAAATAAAAAAAAAAGAACGAAATGGATTATTGAATCGAAGTTTTATCAGGACGCACACAAGTAAAAAAAGAGCGAAAAAAAACCATAACTTTCGGATAATATATTAACGAGTTATATATTAACGATACTATAATTCTAGGCGACTTCCTTAGCGTGTAAGATTTTATTATATCCAACAAGGAACTCGATAATAAATCCGACATCGTTCCAAACTCCTAAATAAATGAGTGAAGGTTATCAACAAAAAAAAAAAAAAACAGAATAAACGAAAAAAAGGAAAAAAGAAAAAGAAAAGCTT